TATTCGCTTCATTCTGTAAGAAATTCCTTTTCGAAATAGAAAAAAAAACAAATTAAAGTATGGGTACAGGGCTTTTTAGAAGAACAGACCTTACGTACCAATGATGCTTGCTATTTACCAGTCAAGCGAACCTCTTTATTAACTCAAAGAATCGTCACTTTATATATAGTTAAGGTCTTTTTTGAATATTACGTGTAATAATAGCTATCGATTTCCATTAAAGATATACCGGAATTGAGGAGATATGCTTATCAATAAGCTTCACGAACACAGATAGTAAATTAGGCGAGGTGGACATCCAGAATATCAAAATACTGATAATTTAGGTTGTGACATCCATCGTTTAGTGATGAGAACATTAATTACTAACTCAGTCGTGAATATCAATAACATTATATGTATGAAATAACTGCAGTCGTGCACAGTATATTACTAGTGAGTTGTAGCGTGCAGCTATTTTGTTTGTCGTTTTTATGCCCAATGTTAGGAAATTCGCACAGCCAAGTTTTCCGAGTTATTTAGACAGCTGAATAAGTTCTATTTCAAACGTTATTTCCTAAAATATAAGTATGCATTCCAATGCTTTTCTAAAATAAGTTCAGATTAGCCCACTTCTGGTCGGTTTTGTTCACGATCTGCTCTCTTCTGGTACAGTGTCTTTTTATAATTATTTATATTGTTATCACCGAAAAATAATGATATTGATTGCGTCGATTGCGATCAACCGATTAAGTTAATGCAGTCTTATACATGACTACCCAGCAAGGATGAATCGTTTTATATGGCAAAAAAGAATAATCTATGTACAAAAAACATAATTAAAGCTCATGTAAAATTTCATATATTGTTTTATAGAGGTTTTGTAGTAGACTGTTCACAAAGCTATTTAATCAGGGCTTATATATATATATATAAGTCATTGTGAATATTTAAGTCTGCCGTCTTTATAAACTACTTATTTTGTAACCATCATCGATACACACCAATTGTCTATTATAGTTGTAGTTTGCTGGTCAAAACACAGCAGCAGATAAATTAGATTGCACGACATACCTCATATTTTCCATGGTATTCCCATATTAACCGCCTACTCATGATATTCTTAAACGAAGTTCCATGATTTTTGTACCAAATCATGTTTCATCCTACAACCATATTTCTTTTCTGAGAGAAACAATATTACAGCGTTTCAGTCGTTGATGCAGTTTACACTTTATAATGGAAATGTTTTGAACACTAAAATACTCTGCATAGCTGACGAACTTAGCAATTAGATGCAAGTATTTCTCTTTTTGACATAATTCTCGAGAAGTATACTTTATTTACTCTGCCTCAATATTTGTTTTTGCCTAGTAGCGATAGCAAGTGGGTTTGTATAAATACTAGACACACTCCTGTTCGTAGCTACATGTTGGTAGTGAACTTTGCTTATATTCAATTTTTATTAAATAACAACTTCAATGCGTATTCCAAGGATAAACACTGAAGGTATTATTAATAAGTAGGCAGAAAAGAACCTGTTAATAACCATAAGACCTGAAACACTTTTTAAATTAATATGATTAATGTATGACGTCGAGACAATGAATTTCCTATAGTTATAAGGCTTCTTATATTTCTACGTATAATTCTAACCAAATAAAGTATCCAACTTCGGTTTTATGTTTATTTGTAACACATGTAGCCTTCAAAAATTTTGCACCTAACATTAAATGATAGTGCTGTATCAACTCCTATCACAACTCTGCAATCTATTTTTCTCACCATAAATCTGACCATTAAATTTGCCGTTATTAATTGTATTAATAACATTGCTTATTTTTGTGGGCGTAGTTTATTTATATAAATTGTACTCCTTCCAGATCCATGAATGCTATTCAGTATGTATCTCTACATATTTTATTTGTAGTTCACCAGTGAGTACATTGTTTAATGATTCACACCTAGTAGTATCAGATTAGGTAATAGCTAGATACGAGTAATATCCCATTTACCAAGATATTTCATACTATAAGCAGTTAAAGTTTTGATAACAGTTCGATTTTTTTAAATCTGAATATAGAGAAATATTTCTTGTTATCCTGGGATTAGATAATTCTGGAAAGACAACAATATCTCTCAGCATAAAGGGTGTCTCCAGTGACTTAGTTACTCCAACTATTGGCTTTGATCGTATTGAAAGTCTATAGTGTAAAATAATCCAGTCACAAAATAGTGGAAATCTCTGTCTTATTATTAGTGTCATCGACTGAGAAATTAAGCTATTTCGGATTCTTTTAAGAGTAGAATCGTCGTTTTCTAAGAGTTCAAAATAGTACCTCACACAAATTTACTATCAAATTCCTTATTTCTGTTTGATTTCATATACTTAAGATCTCAACTGGAGGAGTGAATAATAAGTTGATAAAGATATGTGCAGTCATTAAATGAGGGCTTTTTCTTTTAAGTCCTATACTTCCATATAACTGTCGATCATGAACACGCATCAGCTCAACCCAGACCTAACGTCTGAAAAGCAAACATACAAAACATCATACACTCAACATCGTCAGTAGATTGGACAATAGACCCAGAATCCTCAATCGAAACGACTTGAGACGTATTTCGAAATTTGTACATAAAAGTTACCGCCCCCACATCCCTTGGACTACGTCTAGGGGACCCGGAAACTCCCCACCATGGGTGACTAGGGAGGTTCGCATCCTTCTCCGTGAGAGAAGGAAAATGTGGAATAGATTTAGGTTACTGGGGATTGATGAGGCAAAATATCATTATCAAAAAGCTCAGAATACCTGTGCCTAGACCATCCGTAATTTCAGAAAGCTGTACGAGGAGAAAATCGTTAGGGAATCCATAGAATGCCCTAAACGCTTGTATTCGTATATAAACCAAAGGACAACAACAAGAAGAAATATTCTTTTATTATGGAGAGACAGCACTGCCTCATCACTAGTGGAGGACGACTTTGGCAAAGCTCAAGTATTCTCTAAATACTTTAGCGATGTATATACCATAGAAACACCCTTCCCACCAGTCCATGAAAATTCCACCACACAAACACTGGACAGAGTGACTATTAAAGAACTCGATGTCCTTGGTCTGCTAGTTAAGCTTGACATAGGTAAATCCACTGGACCCGACGAACTGCATCCTAGCTTACTAAAGGAATTAGCAAACTTTGTTACGAACCCTCAAACTGTATGTTTTAATCTATCCGTAACCCAGGGTCGTCTACGAAAAGACTGGTAGAACGCCATAGTAAGTCCTGTCTTCAAAACACGTACAAAACATAAGCCTGAGAATTACCGACCCATTAGCCTAACTAGTGTGGTCGTTAAAATCTTAGAAAAGATTTTTCGGAAGGAGCTGTTTAAGTACCTCGATGAAAACTGGATTCTTTCGGAGAGGCAGCATGGCTTTAGAGTAGGTTGGTCTTGTCTCACTAACTTATTAGACTGGTGGCCTCTTAAGGATCAAAAGTTACCTGTAAACGCAGCCTACATCAATTTCCGCAAAGCTTTCGGCAAAGTTCCTCACAGCCGGCTGTTATATGAGCTAAGGAATGCCGGGATTGGAGGCAATCTATTGATGTGGATAAAAGACTTCCAAGTTGGGCGTCAACAAAGGGAACGGGTGAACCCCAAGTTGTCTAGCTGGGAAACTGTGCTTAGTGGAGTCCCCCAGGATACAGTTTTGGGGCCAGTGTTATTCCTCTTGTATGTAAATGACCTCTCTCGTATACTGTCGTCATCGGTCTTGCTATATACTGATGATGTCAAGACATGGAGAGTGATACAGAGTAAGGGTGATAGCTAAGAACTCGAAAACGACCTGAAGAAATTATCTGAATGGTCCTAAACCTGGCAGTTGCCGATAAATACTTCCAAGTGTATTATGATGCATATTGGTCGTCAAGGTACAGATACATACACGATGAATAACACTCAGCTACCTATTGTCCAGACACACAATGACTTAGGAGTCATCGTTAGTCAAGACTTAAAGACTACTGCACACTGCGGTGCAACAGCCGCCAAAGGTTTTAGGACTTTATGGTCCATACACAGGGCTTTTAGTCATATCGACGCTGAAACGTTTGACTTTGTATATAGTGTTCGTTCGTTCTAAACTTGAGTACTGCATACAAGCAGCTAGCCCCTGCCTAAAAAAAGACAGTGAGCTCTTAGAAAGGGTTCCGAGAAGGGCAACTAAGCTGATTCCCGGAATAGCGGAGCTCCCGTATGGTACTAGACTGACCAAGCTAAACCTATTGTCGCTGTCATATAGAAGAATCAGAGGCGACTTGATTACAGTTTTCAAATTGCTTAATGACAAATTTGCACCTCATATGCCCTCATTTTTCTTGTCTTCCAAAACAGAAAATCTACGAGGACACTCCAAAAAAGTTCACAAGCCCAGAACGAATTACTTGTCAGCTGACTACCGACTTTCCCATCGAATAATCAACGAGTGGAATTCATAACCTTAGCACGTGGTTGAGGCTCCATCCGTCGACTCTTTCAAAAGAAAGTTGGATCAGCTGAGAGACCATCATTGCCAGGGCTAACACAGGCCATGAAGCTTTCTGTTATTTCTAAACTGAAACTGAAACTGACTCATGATTTCGACTTTGAAAAGTACTGAAATCTCCACAAATCCCCTTCTGATTATAATCATATACTCACTAGTGACTGACTTCAAGATACATGTCTTGGAGTTCTAGTGGGAAGCAGTGACCAGTGGAGTTCAACCACGTCTGTTGTGAGACATCAACTCACTGAAGACAATTGGTGAACGGTTGCTCAGCTTCGTGGATCAGTTGAAGTTAGACATTAACACCGTTGGATGCCAGCTCAGTGGTCTATCGGTTAAGGGCTTCGGCTCGAAACTGGTAGGTCCTGGGTTCGAATCTCGCGAGAGTGGGTTCGTGGATGCGCACTGCTGAGGAGTCCCATAATAGGACGAAACGGCCGTCCAGTGCTTCCACGTTTTCGATGGTGGTCTAGCTTCAATTGACTCATGACTTCAACTTTGAAATAATTTGGTATAATTACTGCGACTTCAAATAACCAAATTAAGAGATCAGAATATTAATTTGCTGAGTTTAATAAAACTCCTGAATTCAAAGTATTCAATTTGAAAGAAGAAGATCAACTTTTTATGGCGAATGTTCAAGTACAAATATCAGATTCCAACGTAGAGCTTTGCTTTGTCTTAACGAATTTGTGAGTAAATACAATTAGCGCGCAAGTAGAAATATTTCGGCCGTTTATGTTCTTTTAAGAAATGGTCGGTAATGGTGAATACGAAGATCAAAACTCCTCAAATGCGTCATCATTTTGGGAGTGTCGAGAATATCATCGGACGGTTAAACGCGTGGATGCTGCATACAAACTTTGTAATGAATTATGTCTAATGATACAAGAACGGGCAGAATTAGAAAAAGCCTATTCATCCAACCTCAAAAAATGGTCTTCTCGGTGGCTTAGTTTCCTTGATTCTGGTCTGGAGTATGGCTCTGGATCTTCCCCTTGGAAAGGATTATGTAAGGAAGCTGAGGCTGTATCAAATGCCCATCAAGTAAGAACTTTTTTAGTGACTAAATTATCGTGACCCCTTTCAAAATGCTAACAAATCTCTGTACTGTTAGATCTGGCGTTTAAAATTTCAACTGATTTGGGTTATACGACCAGTCAACTTTTGTATTTGCATAATGGTTTTAGCAACCAGTGAGTCAGTGCATACATGATGAAATCTTGCTTGTCGTCCTCGTTTCTGACTAGTCTTTAATAAAATGCAATCTCTGATTACTTTGCCAACTTTCTTTTTGAAACCTTCGTTGCTATGTTAACTGCAATTATGTAGATGTCATTAATTAGTGATAATCGGTAGTCTAAGCGCGTACCTATAGTGTTTACTTGTTGTTTGTAAGTTCATATAAAGAATCGTTTACGGAATTCAAAGGTTGTAATAAACAAACACAAAATTATTCCTGCTTGTTTAGTCGGAAGAACTTTCGGTTGAGTGTTAAGTAAATCATCTAATACTTCCGAGTCATGGTTTCCAGAAGAATCAGTAACAGCAAGATTTGCCACTTTTTAGATTCAGGTATCTAAAGGTTATGACTCGGATAATGATTAGTTGATAATTAGGGCGGTTTGTAACTGCATTTCGACTCATTTCAGGAAAGACACTTGCAGGAGCTTACTAGAATAGTATCAACACATGAAATTGGCCTTCTCTACTCAATACACAAATCCGCGCCTCAATTGTTTATCTAGTTTCGTTACATCACCCGCATTGTCTTTTGTCTAAGTAGATTAAGTTGGTTTGCGCTACTGTAAAGTGGTTCTTGCCAGCTGTCAACAAGAAACTGTACCAATATACCTGCTCATTGGGAACTCAAAAACCCTAAATAATTTCTTCACTTATCCTAGATAAGTGTGTTGATGTTGGATTTTGTATTTGTGGTGAGGTTATCTTACCACGGAATATGATATCTGTGGTAGTATTTAGTAGGTGGCAGTGTTTTTGCATCTAGACACGGCAGTCTTTCCACAATTCACATAAGGCTTTTTATGTTAAGGAATGAAATCGGCTTATCACTGAAAAGCAATATACCCTAATAGATAGGTCAGCATAGGCAAGCATTATACTACATTGAGCAGAATTTGGTCTTTGCTTTCATATCGGTTACAGTTGACTTTGGAAGTGGCAGCATGATTAAACTTATAACTATTACTAATGTCTTTGAGAGCAGTCTGTAAATCTAATTGTGAGTGGTATCAGGGACTACGTTAACTCGTCTATATGTCGCTTATAGGGAGCATTTTTTTTAAGTAATTGGTAATTGGCGTGAATGCTAAAGATGCTTTTGGATGTTCTTGCAAATAAACCTCATCTATCTAATGATTACGGTAGTCTCGAGTACTTTTAGAGGTATAATGGCAGTTATCATCTCCCGATGCTTACACTGGAAGGGTCCTCCTATAGGTGTCTGAAAAGGAAATTGTGTTAGAGTTAGTCGTAGTGACCGGACGCGTAACCGCAATGTCCGAGGGACATGCTTGAGTTCGGTCACAAACGACCTTTTTGTGAGTAATTTTCGTGTTAGCTTCGTGGTTGTTGAGACCTTACAGCCGGAGACGGAAATCTGTGAAATAATGCGGGGTGTGCATCTTTCGGGTTGAACTTTTCTAACCCCACTTTCCTTTATGGGAAGGCAGCATCGCTGTAATGCTAGTTTTTTGAGGGAAGCACCTTACTGTCGTCACACCTCTATGCGGTCAGCAGTACGGCTTTGCGCTTGAACCTTGGGTTCGCTGCTTTTAGTTCTAACGCTCGTCAACCGACCTGCTTGGCATGGAAGGACCTTGAGGAACGATTGTTCCAGCCAGTATGACCCGATCGGTTCATAATGATAGGCAAGACTGACCACCAAGTCAAGGCAACAGCAACGGTCAGGTGTAAATAAACATAGCACTGTACAATCAGGGGATATCACATACTAATACAAGTAGTCACAATTAAATTTTACCAGAAAATAGTAGCCTATTAAAACCTAAAGCAACTATTCAGTTGCAAACTGATTAGTATTTAATTTGTTCACAATTCAGTTGGAGAGTAATGAATACTTCAATGCTGTTGTGACTTTTTTCACACACAACAACCTAGAGTTTTTTGTCATTGGTTAATAGAGTTTTAATAGTTGAATTCATGAGTCAATTAAAGCTAGACCACCATGGAAAGCCCCCTTCTGATGATATAGTTTTGACAAATTACTGTCAGGAAGCCTCCATATGGCTCGTACAAGTAGTCAATGATTCATAACCTTTTCTACTTCACGATTTAGCCATCATGAAGTTTTTATTTTATTAATTTAACCACAAAAATCCATCACAATGTGAGTGACGATTCAGCATAAATATTAAGTTTCCCAGACGGCTACTTGTTCCGATTTACCATCAAGTCAATCTAAGTTTCATCGTTTATAATTCAATGTTGTGATGCTGGCTTATACATCTTTTACATGTGGAAGTGTTTTAAATGGAATAAGAATCTTCTTATAGTCTTGGGAATTTAATTAGTCGCAAAATTGAAAACTATTTCGTGGACTACTTAAGACTGCGAAGCTCTGAACAACTGTTCACTTCTGGTTTAAGACTTTCTAACCTTTTGTCGAGATTTTGAAAGTTGGCGCTTTTTATGGTGGATTACGGGTTTTTATAGTCATGAAACCTTATTTTTATCCATTTGTCATTCGGTCTGTAGATGAATAACGGTCAGAGCCTTATGTAGACTTTTCATGGATTATTTTTTACAACTGGCTTCGTCATTGCTGGTAAAATGTCGCGAATTATTCAACCATTTTCACTTTCGCTATAGATGGTAACTATTGTTAATAAAAAGTTCTCTCAACCCTATTACTTGTTTATTGAAATCAGTCTCAGTGCTGTTTGGGATATATTGTAAACCTGGAATACTTTTGCAGCTTGTCTTTTATATTTGTGCGTTCATCCATTGATTGCCTAAGATAAATATTCTAATATTTCAGATGTCTGAATTTAGCCTGTGCTATTCATCTTAACATTACTGTTGCCCATGTATGTTTGCACTTTAGACCGTGACCCGCTGTTATTTGGGTTTAAATTACAATCACTGGTTTGGGATTTTAATGTTTGGACAACTAGATACCATCTCTTGGGATCACTTGATAATTACGACTTAAATCCTAGTGTACAGGCCTGCATGTGGTTTTGAGGTATCATCGTATTCTCGCCCCCAAATGTAGCTTATAATATTAATCATTTTATGGTTTTTTGCGTTACGTCTTAAGTTCACCTCTGAATCTCCCCTCCATTTCGACTGCCTTTACAAATCCCCTTTTGAGTTCTTAGAAGTTTAGTACACCAATTTTTAATCTTGTCTTCAGAGACTTGTAAGTATATTTATGCCCAGTTAATGTGCTTATAGTTTATCTTTTGTGGATCCAACAGGTTTTTTTTAGCTAAGAATTCTTCACTTATGTAGATAAGCTAGAACTGGGTTAATGTGAGATCGTTTTCTTTCCTCCTTCAGGAATAATCATTTTTAAAAATATTTGAAGACCTGTTTCAGATGCTTGGCATCTCAGTTATGTTTGTGATAATGATATTTGTTGATTGGGTATTCATTAATATCCTATCTTCTGTGGTATAGTATCTGAATGTAAGGGTACTTAGTTTATTAATAATTAATTTCTTCGAAGTTCATAAACGGTATTAGTTTTTATTAACTCATTACATATCTATCCATTTATCCATCTATACACGTTTGTTCATGATTACACTTTATGCTTTAAGGGGCCATATTTCTTGTAGTTTTGACCTTATCCAGTTTTATATAATTGTACTCTGTTTTTCAAGAATGTACGCAACATCTTAATAGACGAAATTCAAACTGAAGTTAAGCAATGGCAAAAAGAGCACTTTCACAAAAGTTCGTTACCTCCACAAACATTGAAAGAAACAAAACAATTTGAACAAGATTTTGAAATAGCACAAAAACAATGGTCCAAACGTTTGAAAAAAGTTCACACTACTAAAAAGGAGTATTATCAAGCCTGCAAGACAGAACGTTCACTTCAAGTTCAGGTTCGGAATGCTAAGAGTGACCCAAGTGGTACCGCTGAGCAGGTAATTTATCTATTTTTGCAAGTCAACTATATTTGTTTTTAAATGTGTTTAATTTCACACTTTTTTGTGCTATGTATTTTGATTGTTTAAAGATCCCCACCATGTTAAAAGACTAATATTTGAACGAAGAATATTCTTTTCGATAAATTCTTTTTAGGCCCTACAATTATATATCCAAATTAATAATCCGAAAAATGATCAGGTTTAGGGCAAAGTGTATCGTTTAAAGTTAAAGCATGTAAGTTTAAGATTGTCAAACAAAATAGAATTAAATCGTTAGTGTTGATATGGCTCATATGGAACGTTAAATTGAACCAGCTTATATGTTAAGTGAAAATTTTGAGATCCTTGATGAGAATAAATATGGGTCAGATAGGGTGAGAGGAATAATTGCGCAATTACAATTCAATCAAATGCTTAGTGTAAGACTATATTGTGTGAAAATTTAGTAAGACATAAGGTGGGATGAATGGGAAATAAATGAATCATGTATTGGGGAGATTAATAATGCTGTTTAACCAATATTAATAATAATACAACTATTTGTGAATAAAGATAACAGAGACAATTAGGTTTAACTACGAAAGGTCGTAAGTAAAATAGTCAAATAAGGTCACTCAACGGCCAAGATTACTATTGATTAATTGGCCTTGAGGTTTGCCAAAGGAGGAGAAGCGGTTGAAGATATTTCTTTTGTACACATAGCTCCGGTTTCTTAATCCGGATGGCTATTGCTTCAGCCGTTTGAAGGACTTTAAGACTGACAAGCTTTGGCAAGAAATTACTGACCCGATAAATAATTGGATAGACTTGGTTTGTTCTGGGACGAAATGGCACTAAATGAGCCAATATCAAACTGTTCACTTTTTTCACCAGACCTTTGCTTAGCCACGCTGGGAGGTGTTCGCGAGTACAAAAATGTAAATTTCTAGAACTTCGACCAACATAGCTTGCTCCATAGGAGCAGTCGAACCGATAAATACAAAATGAGGTGATCATTATAGGTATTTCATCTAGCCTCAGTGTCACCATTGGGCGCGTAGGAAACACTAATCGTAGTTCTCCGGCGTTGAAAATTTTTTAGGTTGTTTTGCATAATCTTTGAGTTAGTATTTTGATATCCGTATCTCCTCGGAATTGTAGGCGCATGATTTCTTATTCTCCGTTTGCATTTTGCCTATTCTCATATTCGTAATCATATATTTAATTATAAACTTTCTAGGGTATCCGTTTTCCTTAAGAGTATTACGCAAGGTGTTTAACTCTTCAACTAAATCTGTAGAACATATAGTGCGTATTCGGTAATTAAGAGTTTCGATCAGGTGTCTTTTGTACCGTAGAGGTACAAAGCTAAGGAAATGTGTGTACTGTCCTGTCCAGGTATTTTTTCTGTTTAAATTCCTTTTTAATGGCCCATCCACTCTCTTAGTTAGGAGAACGTCCAAAAAGGCTGTTCTACCATCACTCTCTTCTCCCGATGTAAACTCAATGGCTGGATGTACCTCATTAAACTACCTCAGAACTTCTTGCTATGATGTACTATCTTTACTGAGGATGAATGTATCACCCATATATCGACAGTAAATGTAAATTTTTGAATAATCTTTTTGAGTGGACCATTTTCTAGTGTGGCTAGAAAAGTATCAACTAGTATATTGCCGAAATGGTGAACGCATTGCAACTCCATTCGTTTGTCCATAGATTTCTCTGGTGAACTTGAAATTCACATTTATGGTGCAATTCAGTATAACTCTTTTACGAAATTGATAGGAATTGTAGTTTTAATTTCATTTTCACTCGGTTGTTCACATATATATTCTACAGCCTCTATGAGTGGAACATTTGTGAGTAATGGTGTTATATCCAATGACATCATCTTTAGTACCAAAGTATTTGCGTTTTTGATCTCGTCAACAAATTGGAATACATCCTTAACATCATATTTCACAAGTGTTTCGTGGAGAAGTTTCAATATAGTTACCAACCTTTTATCTATGGTATAAGGAGAGTTACATATCTAAAATTGGATCCCCGATTTATGTACTTTTAGCAGTCCATACAATCTTGGTAGATAGGTCCCCATTGGCTTAATCATTTCGTATAAACTTGAAGAAATAATCTGTTGCTTCCTAAGCTTCTTCATAGATCTGGTTAACTGATTCTCTATCTTATTATTGAGATCATTCTGGTCAGTTATTTTTTGAAATTTTAGTTTATCATCTAAGATGATACCCATTTTGTCAACATAATCACTTTTGTCAAGAAGAACAATTCCTGAACCCTTGTCAGATTTCTTAATCAGTAACGTTTCATTCTTTAGGAGTAGGTTAATAGCTTCCTTATGCTTCTTCGTAAGAAAGCTTTTGTAATTAAATTTATTGTTCTTATGCTGGTAACAACATTCCACGAGAGTTGATTTCAAATGTTCTAGTTGTTGATCAGAATTTGCAACTAAATCATGTCTGACTAAATAGATTTTCGAATTTTATATATATATATATATATATATATATATATATATATCAATGTGGTTACAGTGATTATGTGTATCACAGAATTTCAGATAATACCTCTAGTTTTTCTTTATCTAGTTCAACACTTGAGAAGTTATGCATATACCTTTTAAAGTCGGTTGGAAATTTGCTTTCGTTTGTTTGATTTCCCAGATCATATGCTTTAACTTTAAACGATACACTTTGCCCTAAACCTGATCATTTTTCGGATTATTAATTTGGATATATAATTGTAGGGCCTAAAAAGAATTTATCGAAAAGAATATTCTTCTTTCAAATATTAGCTTGTGTTATGTAGTTTTCTAACTATATTTACCGTTGTCTTCATCAGTTCTTTAATTTTATTTTAGTCATCCTCAAAGAATGAGGCAGTTTGATTCAGGTTTATATAGTAAAATATGAGAGATATATCATGATGACTATTAGCCTTAACTTGTAATCGAAACCCTTAGGCAAGATGAGGTTAGATTTCGTGGATAAATGGCTAAAAGTCTAATTTTTAAATTATTGAGTCAATTAATGTATGCTGGTTTTACTAACCGGTAATTCAATGATGCACTAAATCAATGTGAACAATATAGCTTATTAATGAAATTACTAAAATGCCGACCACCTATATAACCTGAGATTTTTTGAGATTGTGATATTTGCAGTTGGTGTTTTAGGTAATGCAAACGTTTAAAGAAAAAATACCTAATGAATAAAACTTTTTTATTTACAATTTGAAGATAAGGGTATTGAGATAACACACGACCAAATTCCATTTAGGTGGGTATCGGACATCCTAAAAGTATTTTAACTATATTGTTTTATCTTTTGCTCGTTAAACATTTTTGTTCTCATAGATTATTTGGGCTATTTTCGTTTAAATAATTTAGCTACGAGAAACAATCAAGTTGCAGATCAAAAAATTAATTAATTAATAATAATTTGTAATATTCCATCTTGATTTTTCACTGATTTTACATTCCTTTTTATTTCTGTTGCTAATTCGTCTGAGCTCGCGCCAGTTAAGTATTCTCATATTTTTAAACATTCTAAAATTGTAACCAGAATTAATAAAAAACAACAAGAAAAATGCAAGTATAGCTACTTTTATTGCAGGGTTGATGACCACAAATCTGTTTTCGGAAAATTTACGAAGTCATCCTTGAAAATCAGAAAATGTTTCTTATTGTTGTATGCTAATAACACCACGACTATCACTACCAGTGTTATGACTTTGCCTTGTTAATTATCACGTGGCAAGATCGCCAATCAGAACACCGACCCGTACGACCTCGGCCCTGTGCCAAACAAATGACGCGTTAAGCAGCACGAGCAACCTAGAGTCAACTCAGAATCCTTATCGGTTCTTCTTGCCTAGCCCTGCCGGTTTGTGTTCAGAACATAAACTTAGCTTCCACTGTATGATACATGCATTTCAGACATACAGTTTATGTACAAACAAACCAGATCGCACTACATCATAAAATAGAAAACAATAATTGTACAAGATCAAGCCAAAATTGAGTGTGAGAGACTGTAACTAATAAATCGGGAATAAGTTAAGAATGGTAAATCGTATCGTAATAGTCAATAGGTCAAGTGAAATGATATTTATATACAGTCTAGTTACCTAATAATTATCCAATAAGAACATATGTAATGATAGTCTACGAATAATTCCTAGTAGTTACCATTCATTTATTCTTCGTTAGAATATAACCAAGAGTTTCAAATCTTTTGAAATTAGTTTCGTCCACGAATAAATACAATTACTCCACTCCATAATATACAGACTAAATTCAAGGCTAACGAAGTCCGGCATTATTTACTGGATTAATCAAAGTGACTTCAAAAAAACACTATGTTGGACAAAGTGGAGATCTTTTCTATCTACACATCATTAAAACAAGTTAACAGTTGAACAAAAAGTCAATTAGTCTCTAATTCAAATGATAATAGTACTGTAAACCCACACAACAAACTTTTCGATAACAACCGAATACAAGCAAGGTCACTAAAACGCACGTACATAATAATTACGGAGATATTTTATCTAAAAGAAATCGGTTCTAAAAAATTAGTTTATGAGTTATTCCGTCAACTGCACAAATTCAGTTACGTGCGAAATTTAGTACTTATCCAGCCTTTTGCAGAAAGTATGCTTATTCATCATACCAAATTTAGAGGTAATTAGTTTCCTGACTTATTAAATGGGAAAATCTCAAACTTCCTTAGAATTACAGTTTTTTGATCGGAATTGCAAATCTTGCTTTTTAGTCAACTGTTATTTCTTAGTGACTTAAAGGACAAGCTGTTGCACGGTCACTGAGATGGCATTTAAAAAATGAAACGATCGAAAGCTTTGTAGACTTTGTCGGTTTAATTACAAAAAATCAACCACAAACTGCAAAAAATGTTTCTATAGCAGTTTCTCTCTGGTCCTTTAGTGTTTTTAATTATTTTTAAAGATCAGTTACTGTTCTAATTGTATAAAAATAATATTTTTTCATTTCTTCGCCTTGTTTATTAATTAATTGTAAATAACAAGCTTGTCTCTATATAGCCATACAGTTCCAGGAATTAAACCATCAAATTATGATATATTATCTGGATTCCTTCTTTTTGTTTCATCTTTCCTAACTATAAAACTTCCAATCATATTTAAACTAAGTATTGACAGTATTACCTAGAATAGTAACTTCCTAGCTCAATCATCGAGTTGAAAAGAGGCAGCAAAATAAAGTGATAACACGAGATAGACTTGTCTACCCAGTATGAATACTTTATATATTGCGTGGCTATGCATTTTTTCTAACATTATACTTCTCAGCATCTTTTAGTTTTTATTTGATGCACAATTAAATCGATTCTTAGGTGTAACAACTTGATAACTGTGATCATTTTGTTCCTTCTTATATCACCAAAAAATAATCTTAAAGAGAACTGTTGCAGTGGGTTTATTTGTTTTTGTTATATTGGTAGGATGATAAAAAAGTGAGTTAGCTATTGATGTATAGTTTCTCGTATGGTATCATAACTTTCCTTTTTGCTGTTATTCATTCCTCTTTACTTTGTCTAAATGCATGATTTTTCTACCTTTGATTTACTATGCTATATAAATTGGTTATTGTTCATTTTTGCATTTATTTCTGTTGATTATCTTAGTTTATTATTTTATGAGTGAATTGAATTCAATAATCTGATACGAGTATTCAAACATTTCACTTGTTAAACTCTCCCGTATTACAAGATAGAAGCACCTAGCAGAATATAAATTATAAATATTAAGTTATCAGTTAAATTAGTCTTGGGAGCTTCCATATTTTGTCCTCATTTTACATCCAGTTATAACTGACTAACAGATTTATTAGATTCAGAGTTATTTCATCCATATAGTAGTTAAAATATTTGTTGAATAAACTAGTTCGCTAGTAATTTTATCAAAATTTTATTTTAAGGAATCACTAGAAACTAAAGGACACTGAATATTGACTTCGTTATAGTTTGAGACTACTTAATAGTCTGCACTCATGAACACATACACTTAGTGGAATCCAGGATCTTCAGTTTTTACGACTAGCATGATACATTTAGATCATCGATTACTAAATCCATTTGTTTACATTTGGATCTTGTGGCATACTTACTCAATATTATCAATGAGTTACATGAGTCACGTTCTTTACTCGACAACTCATGACTTTTTATCGTTGCATCAGGATATTCATTTTAATACTAATCATTGATAAACACGACTTTTCAATTTGAATCATTCTATAGAAATTTTTGTATATTTTCAAAGTAATTCTCATTACAGTCTTACTTGAGCTAAAAATCAGTGAATGTAGAAAACCATTATACAGTTGTTTATTTATCAGATCACGGTTTTTTCGTTACTCTTATTTACTTTTACATTTAATTATGGATGAAGTATTTTAATTTCTTGCAACTACTACCTCTTCACTTCGCCAATTTTCTGTTTGCAATGTGATGATTGAGTAAGTGGACACCAGATATACGTTGGTGAAGTCATTAGTTATTTCCCAAAATAATATGTAATAATGCTAATTCGTTTAAGAAATATTGTTTCATTTTGTTCTGTCTTATGTTGATAAAATATGATTAAAAGGATTTAAGTTTATGTATATGCAAGATTTTCTTTTATTTCATTGTGTAATTTTATACCAGCTTATTTCTTATTCTGTTTCAAAAGGACTTTACAACTCTTTAGTTATCCCATAATTTAAGCGTTCTAAAGTGCTTTTGACTTCTTACGTCAGCATTAATTGATTTCTATGGGATGAATCATATTTATTTGTAATATTGGTTCCTAACTATTTAGGTATTCATACAAGGGAGCTGAATTTATGATAATTCAGTAAACTACTATTTTCATAAGATGAAAATTGTTGAAATAGCAGGTATAATGATCAGAATTTAGCTTATTTTAGTTCATAACAAAAGGACTTAGTCAAGTAATTGGTATTGTGTAATGCAAACATTTAGTGGTCTTTCAAATATGTACTGAGAATAAACCTAAGCAATCGAAGCTAGATAAATATTTATTTAGCAGTGCACTATCCTTTAATGAAGTTAGCAATGTGATTTTCATGATCTAGAGGCTTATTTCCCGAATCTGGATAAAGTTTGGTTTTGGAATTGATAGTTATTTCACTTACATTGCCCCGGAAACTTTTTGTTTTACTGCTTAAATGTGAGCTACACCGGCTTGTCCTCGTGTGTATATCTTCCTTAAAGTCTGATCACTTTGACAGTCTACTGCATAATGATTAATAGTCACTCGCAACAAATTGAAGTGTAGAAGTCGCATTTATAATAAACACATGACTGCAATAGACTGTGACTTAATGATCTTCAGATAATATTTGTATGGGGAATTTGAGTCGACTGAATTCGTCGCTCGAATATAGTAAATATAAGTTCTAAAAACTGTTCTTCACAAGTGGGGTGTGACAGTTAAGACGTTTATTGATAAATATATACACATGTGAACACCATTTACTACTTCCACGTTATGTATTTTCAGTAAACAGTATAATTGTGTGTGTGTGAGTTGAACACTTTTCAAACGGTCTTCTCTTACTATTTACTTATTTATTTATGCTTTCTGGTATCCCTATTCGGCATTTAATCCTGACTAAAATAGCCTGTTATGGACTGACTGCAATTTTCATTTTGACAGTTTAGCAGTTCGGTTATGGTGATGTATTATTTCGAAGCTTTTTAGTTTGGCCAGTTGTGGTTGTTTAGTTTTTTTTAGGGGATGGAGTTTGAAAACATGCACTTTGGGTAAAATATTAGTTTATAGGGTACATGTAGTTTTTGGTTATAGGTTCTACCAAGTAAACAGATTAAATGCACAAAAAGTCTTCGTTTCACACACTGTAATTACTTGTTTCCGTTATTAGCGTACTTTTCGAGTCTTTTCATTATGCTTTATTCAAACTACTTGCAAATTTTTTGTGTTGTTTGTTTGTTTGTCCATTGATATTTTGTGTTTGCGCATATAGTTACTTTCAGGTACTAATGTATTTACACTTAAAATGTTATGGATGATAATCTATTTCTGTAGAGCAAATTATATATATATATATATATATATATATATATATATATATAATATTGATTAGTCATTCGTATTATCTTGTTTTTGTTTTCTTCTGTCTGTTTTTGATAAACTGAATCGTTAGGTATCAAACAAAGTTGTTTATCTAAAGATACTGTGGTTTGTATATAGTTAAGCACTGAATCTCCTCTTAGTATTCAACAACATGTGAATTTTTTGTGCAGGAGGTGCATTTTTTATACGATAGTTCATGTCCAGTAGTACTTTATATTTTACGATAATAATTCACCATATATATATATATATATATATATATATATATATATATATATATAGCATAGGGATAGTTGACGAAAAGTTTTGTCGTCTGAAACGGACCATACTGGAACCTACCAACGTTCAACTCCGTACATTACCACTAACTCTATTATTGACCACCGTTGAAATTCTGCTTCTCAGGGTGCTTTTTGGCTCTAATCCTAATTTCATGTTTTAAGCTAGCCGGTTGCTTATTTGGGAAGTTGGTGTGAGGCTAGTATATATAGCTCTTGGATGTTGCCTCCATTTGACTTATTTTGAGATAGGATTAATGCAATTGTGGAAAAAGTGTTAACTATAGATTTTTGGAGACGAAAAAGTGCTCATCAGTCAGCAAGCAGAGACAATGTCTGTCGGAATAACTCGCAGCTCTTTGAAGTCGATTTTCAAGAACTTTTTCTCGAATGGAACTCAGTAAAATCCCACGGAAACGGATTGAGAACAGGGACTTTCTGCCCTATCGAACGATAGTGTAGTTGTACGAGTAACATCTGCTACTATATAGCTGACTTGTGAACTGATCATTCTTGTATTATTTGATAAATTAACATGTATATCTATACGTATATACGCTTCTGGATTTCCTTACAATATATGTAAATGTATAGTATATCTAGATCCTCTTTTCACTTCTATCATGCTATGTAGTGAGGCGTTGGTTGTAGCGCTACGCATAAATTGGAACATTTTGGTTGCATTATGGTCACCAATAAAAATGTTAATTAACTAGCACAACACCAACTTTTAAGGCGTGTGAGAAAATAAAATATGAAACTTTGTGTTCTTAATGACGTAGTCATATGTTTTCAGATTTAAACCGAATACAGGTTTTAAGTAGTAATGACTATTGAGAATTATCTCCTAAACAATCACTACGAGCTCTGGATATCTAGTTTAATTTATTTTAACCACCATGTTATACTTCACAAACATGTATAAATATTCTGTTATACATAATAAAAACTCCAATTAATCGCGCTTAATTTACTTATTTATTCAAATATATTGATATTATTGCCAAGTTGCTACCGAATTATGAGATGACATGAACTAACATAATTCTACATATTTAGTTTAGAGAATTTGTTATTTCTATGAGTTATTATTCTTTTTTAAACAGCTATAAATCGTTTTGTAATCTGATTTTTAAATGATATAGTGTGTGTAAATTGGGGTGTTAGTCATTGATTTATTTGTTTTACTATACCAATTATTATACAGTTTCATAAGGTTGGCGATTATTATTCCATTTTGTTTCTTATTTGTATTCTAAAGTGTGATTTGATTTGCTTGATTGAGTGCGCTTTTTAATTATCAGAGTTCTAAATTCATGAATCTACTGATAATATTTAGTCCCATTGTAAAATTGATTAAAATTAACTAATTTCTTTTTAAATTCCTATAGCTTAAGAAAACACAAGAAAAATTAGCTAAAGCGGAAAAAGATGTTCATCGAACTCGTGATGCATATAAAATAGCGTTGGCTGATTTAAATACTGAAAGCTCACGATATGTTGAAGAAATGACTAAAGTAAGTAGTTAAAAGAAAGTCAACCATTTTGTTTTCTTAAATTTTCGTGATCGAATCTAAATTATCCACAAATAAGTTGATTGTTTAATTGTTGTTTCCATGTTTATCAATATTGAATTACTTATAGATGGGTTGTTTTAATCGTGCTTCATTATTTCTTTCTGTTTGATTTATTGACATCCATTTTTTAAAACGCTTATTTTGTTATTAGATAGATAATATCTATCTTGAAATAGATCTTTGTTTTTGATTTCTCTCTTATGTATAATTCATTGGGTCCGTGTCATTAATTCAAACATTAATATCTACTGGATGACGTATAGAATCACCTACTAGGTTATGAACTTCGTCTATCGTCAGTATCCTACTATTTGTAGACTTCGGTTTCAATCGTTGATATTCACTTGATGAGGATTATGATCTTAAATAGACAAACCACAGCTATGTAATATATGACAAGCGTAATAAAATTTGTGTTGTCTCTTATGACACTGTATGAGCATTCTGTTACCATACTTCTCTGTTTTGTCAGGTATATGTTCTCTCTGACGTAGTATATTCCGTTTGTGTTGTATAAATAGTGTTATTATTTTACCATATATTGATGATAGTTTATATTTGTTTTGTCATTTTACTAGCTCTTTGTTATACATAGTGATTAAGTGTTTATTACTTTTTTATAATTTACATTATCATATCGGTTGTCAAATAACAACTATACAACCAATAGCCTAAAGGTTCATGTATAAAAGGTATATTTTATAAACGTAGAAACCTTAGATCATTTTCGAAAGCATACAGGCATTGTATACTACGAATCACACAAATGGATGTTTATATATATATATATATATATATATATATATATATATATCGATCATTACCTTGAAAAAAACTGGTCATCTTACTTATTCATTGTGCTTCCACATTTACTACAGTGAATATCGTTTTGTAAAACTACTATTAAAACGGTCTCGTGTGAGGTATAAACTGATAGATGTTAGAAATTCAGTTAGAACAATAAAGTACTCGTGTTAGTAACTAGAACAATTCGGTGTCAACAGCAGATAATAACGACTCGGTTACTTATTATTCTTTGTTAGATTAAACTAAATAATAACTCCAGGTAAGTGTGTGGATACGTACACGCAGTAGATTGCACTGAAGGATTTCAATTGGATGGGATTATCTTGTTTTTCTTAACTCAAAAATGAAGTTATAATTACTTTGTATGCAAATCAGTGTTCGAGTCGTAAAAATATTTATTGTATTCAAAGACCTGACATGATTTCTTATAGTTTGTTTCAAATGATAGGAATATTCTCCATAAAGTCAAATAAAAATAATCACTGTGAGGCTTTAAGGATGCTGATTTTAGTGAGTTCTATTCCATTTACATTGCATGAATATAAAAAAAACACTTGTGTAAAGTAATATTTATTCGGGGAAAATAGAAAATATGCGCTTGGTAATATTGTTTACTGTTTTTGGAACGAAAGGGAATTTGATGCATAGTACAGATGGAAATACTAGATTACTGGTAACATGAAACGCAATTTTAAACCTGACCTATTCTAGTCCTATATTTTAATTAGGTTCTGATGTATAATGCCTGTAAATCGAACAATTTGATTTCATAGAATTCAAGATGACCTAAACATGAAGGTTATAGCAAATACAATAGGTCAACAATGCTATTTTATTGAAACTTTGTTGCTTAAATTTCTTATCCCTGGAAGGAGTCTAGTCTAAAAATATGTGATTTTGCCAGTTTACGCAAAACATTGTAAATTTTATGGTTTACCTAACTGTCTCTCATTTTTTAAATCTATTTATTGTATTGGGACCACTAGTCTATATATACTAAACCGGTATCCAACTCTAACTAATCCACGATATTGTGTGACCATTTTCCATTGTCTTTGGGGATGAGCCTGGTTTGCTTGTATATAAACTACATATGTCTGAAATATATTATTTATACAATGTTGGCTGGTATTGCGTCTTGAACTCAACGGGCAGGGCTAAGCTTGAAGGACCAATAGGAATCCAGATTTGACGCAAGGTGGCTAGTTCTGATTGACGTGTCATTGGTTTAGCACAAGGGCAAGGTCATATGGGTCGGTATTCTGATTGGCGATTTTGCCATGTGATAATTGATAGGGGCAGAAGTCATAATTTTTATTGATGTCGGTGATAATTATAAACAGCGGAAGAAGCTGACGAGAGTAACTGATAATCAATGATAATATGGGTGAAGCATTCAGTTTGTAGTTGGCTACCTAAACTATAAGACTAAAGTAAACCAAAAGTGTCGTCATCGTAACAATCTTTTTTTGAAGGGGGGGATTATATGGTAAATATATTTAGATATTTTGCTACATGCAACAATTGTGTAAGACATTAGTTATTCACTTCTAGCAAGACATTGTAGCGGAAATTGTAGTAAAAAAGATGCAATCTTAACGGAGAAAAGTTTAACGAGATAATAAAATTAACACACCTTTTAAATATCCTTTTTCGGAATATTTGACTTTTATCCACTGAGTTTACCATTTCGAGTACTACTCTATGTAATTCGATTTAGGGATTCAGGTAGTAGTATCGCTAGCTCTCACCGTGAAAATGTTAGCCAATAGCCCCTAGCAAATCAGCTGGCACTTATTAATTGAGTTACATTAGACATCTATTTTTATTCTTATTTTCATTACTACTTTTATTGTTGTTGTCTTTGTAACGCTGTATAGAAGTATCGAGTGATTTGATGATTTCAAATTTCTCTTTTTAACGTAATTCTTTGTGGGCGTACCACTAACTATATATATATATATATATATATATATATATATATATATATATATATAAGGGAAACCTACACCTTCTATTCGTCCTCTCCATGAAAGTCGTAATTAACTGATACGCTGATCACCGTTTAATATTTTGTTATTCGCTTACAGTTATCATATTTAAAGTTATCTGAAATTCTGTTAGATAACTTGGTTTTTATTTCATTCTTTCGTCTGTAAAATATATTCCAGTGATTCGTAAATTACACTAGTTTGCGTGTTTGATTGTTACAGACTCGTTTATTACTTAACCCAGTGTTTTTATTTCTGTCATAATAAAATGAAATGTCGCATATTTGTTTGGATATTATTGTTTTTCTAACGACCCAAACTGACCATAATACACAGTATTTTAATTTAAAAAGATAGTGTATGATAGTGAACGCCGTAAAGTATGTTTGATACCATTGATCTAATAATATTTCACAAAAGTTGCTACTTCAATGTGGATTTAAACATTAGCTATGTAGATCATAGAGACTTTATCATTTTGAACATTAATGAAATAAATTGGAAAGGTATGGAAAATCAAACAACTCTATCATAGTAACTTTATCCTGATTTAGGACTACTGAATAGTTTGCACTTAATGACCTAGGATCTAAAGATCGTGTGACAACCGTGATGCCTGTAAACCAACTAGATCGGAATCCAACAGCCTACATTTTCAACTTCCGTTGATTTTGGATCTGGATGAATTCGTATTCAACGTCATTGATAAGTTGCTATCCCCTATTCTGGCCGATTCCATGTGCCACAGTCGATCAGTCGCAACGTAGAACCTAGTATGTATGTACATCGGTTCAAAATGAGATAAAAACACAAAAAAGGTTCTGGAGAGTCCAGAAGCTCAGCGTTTAGAGGAAGACAAAGGATGGATGCATCTGCACCATTCCAAGCGATTTCGAGCCATACGATCTTTCGTCATAGTTTATTAATATATTTGAACAGTCTCTCAGTAGATAGTGTTCGGTTTTCAACCAGTAAGTCGTATGATTGAACTCCTCCCCCCATACTCCCATTTGAACAAGTAAGTACTATCATTAGCCTTTACATTTGAAATATGACTCAAAGCTAAGCTGATGAATTTTCTTATGGTAAACGACTTAATCTATGGAGAACACCAATAGCTTTGAGGAAATCCTTTTTGATACGCCTCTATTAGGTATCTGGTTATAGTTTAAACAAGTGTTTAGCTACTACATAATATTACTATAATATAAAATAATAAATTATCTTTACTGTATGAATGCTTCCATCCACTAGAACATATCCGGTACACTGAGATGAATAAATAAAACCGGGCAATATTGCGAAAAATCCTTATTTTAAACTTAAAACGAATGTTCATTTTCCAGTTCATTTTTTTCTGTAACCGGAAATCATTCGTAACTAAAAGACTTAAATGTTAATAAGTGTGTAACGAAAACTACTAAATCTTCATAGTTGATTGTTTCTATCTTTGTTAACTTAGTTTAAGATACCCACTTCCTGATCAGTATATTTCTGTTTATCCTGTTACAAATTTGTTGTTAGATAGTTGAAGGAAATTCACAGAGAGCGTAAACATAAGTTTTATGCTAGTTGAAACTTACTAGCAAGATATATCAACGACCTTTAATGGTATTGATCTTCGTGAAATTCTTACCCGTATCATAGTCAGAGACGTTACCTTTAAGCTATTTGAGCCGTCGATAACCTTTTGTAGGTTTGAGATGTTTATACTAATTGCTCTCGTTTTATGAATGATAACTGTCACCGCCTCCAACCACAACGATATTAAATGAAGCCATTATGGTGTGAAGTCACTTAGGTAAGTGGGCATATATCAAGCTGATCGATACTATTCGATTTAAACTAAGGACCAGATAATACAACATTCGTTATTACTTAGTGACAAGATATTATGTAGTCACAAGTTTCAATATTTTTCGTACTGCATATATAACGTTGCTTAAATGTGGTTGAACGGTTAAAACAAGCATAAAAATAATAACTAAAGAATTTTAATAACGATAATATATATGATAATTTCTTATTAGGACAAGAATTCATTTTCTTATGATGATTTAATATTCTGTAATTTAATTATTTATTTTGTCTACTTTACCTCTTATAGTTTTTATTTTTTCCACTTTCTTTTTCAAGGTATTTAATCGAACACAGGATTTTGAACGAGAACGTCTTAGTTTTTTTAAAGAGATATTTAACAGTCTACATAGTGCCCTTAATGTTTGTGCGAAAGTTGAGTAAGTTACCCCGGTGTATTTAATGATAAATTTAATAATAGTAGAAAATGTTTAATATTCATCCAATGATGTTATAATATTATGTTTCAATTGATCATGAGATAATTGGATAATATTCAGTAGTTATGTGATTGACTGAACTTTTAATGAGTGGTAGTACCTATCGTACTGCGCTCTTAGATTACTTTTTCATGAATTTACGATTTGGTATTTCTGTTATTTAACTTACATTGCAATTCGTTTATAAAGGCAAAGTTTATTTAATCATGTTTGAGGGTACATTTAAAGCTCAGAGTACTAAATAACCGCGTAAACCAGAGTAGACAGAATAGGGTTAAAACCTACGACTTGTTAATCGGAAACCCAAATTTTTTTAATTATTAAGAGGACCTGCTACAATGTACTTCAGTTTGAGTCTCCGTGTACTTACCTACTTGGGCCTATCACCGCTCTTGAGGTATAGGCCACTGACGGGGGATCTCCAACCAGCTCTACTGGCTCTCCTTTCCAGTTGTTGCCAAGTGTCATTCGTTGTCTTGATGTCTAAGTTCAAGTCCCAGTTCCGTGTGTCTTTTGATCTGCCTCTTTTCCTTTTGCCCTGAGGATTCCAAGTTATAGCTTGCCTTGTGATTCGATTTGGTGGTTTCCGTAAAGTATATCCTATTCGCCTTAAGCGTTTTTTCCTAATTACCTCTTCATTCGGTAGCTGATCTTTTCTCTGCCAGAATAGGTTATCGCTGATGGCCTTTGGTCAGCGGATCTTCAGTGTTTTGGGTAGACAGCTGTTTGTAAACACCTATATTTCGGTGGTGGGGGTAGTAGTTTCCTAAGTTTCAGCACGAAACAGTAGGATTACTTGAAAGTTTATGTTGACAATTCTAACCTCTGTCCTAGACTACAGTTCTTCGTACAAAATTGATGAAAAATTTGAAAAGATGTGCTTCTTACATTATCTTAATCAAACGTTTGCCATAAAGATATTTCAAAGTTTAATGAGTACATAGGAAAGTTTTACACTTTATAATAATAGTAATACAACCGACTACAGTCGGTGATGCGCAAACATGATAGCAATCTAATCTACATATCGTAAGCTGGAATAAGAATAACTATTGGAGTTTTATATTTCACAATATGAATGGTTTCAGGACAGTAGAAGCATCATCTAGAGGTTGTTTAAAGCATGGGTTAAGAATCGAAATTTTTGATTTTTTAAAATTGCTTGTTCCATTTTCCTCATCCCAAAAGTATTACCAAATCATCCTGGCTCTCACAATCTTTCGAGGAAAACTATGTATGCTTGTACTAAGGGTGCTATTCCCATTCATAATAGGACGACAAACACAAATTCCCTTGACATAGTAATGAATGTATAAGTGTTTAAGCGAAACCCGTTATGTATAAATGTATTGGTGTCCTTCAATTATTTTTAGGCATGTGTATTTGACTTAACTGCGTTTTCTTACGTTCCATACCAAATCATTTGTAACAGAATGATCTTTTTTTCTTGTTGAAAATATTTCTAGTTACGATTCTATCTACAATGAGTTAGCAGAGAGTATATCACAATGTGATGTTGAAGCAGACTTAAATTTATGGTCCTCAAATCATGGAGTCGATATGCCTTTTGTTTCTCCACAATTTGAAGTAAGAACTATACAAAATGGAATCTTACTTTTTAGGTTTATATGAACTTATTCTCAATGTATTCTTTGTTGATTATTTAATTAATTTAATGTGATTAAAGGTACTTTCTTTCTGACGAGATCTTCATGGTGAAATATTTGTCTCATGTATTCACTACACTGGAGTTCGTAAACTAATAACATTTTATTATCTCGATTGGATATCAGTTGATACAGACTTGTGTTCTACACTTAATCCAGTTATCTTTATGTACGAATCTATAGCTTCCAGGTTTTATCTGTGATTCGTTGTCGAAAAATGTCAGAAAACGTAATATACTGTCTAATATTCCTCGATATTTTATCGTGTAAAGCATAACTTACTTAACTGACTCAAAATACGAGACTGAGTTATTGGTATGAATAACTTTAAAGTTTTACTAGCCTATTCCAATAAAGTGTAACTCAAAGTGTGTTACAAAAACTTTTGTATCAACAGTTTAGTAACTAAACTCCATTAATAAATGAACTCTAACGAACGAGAACTCAGGTAGGGAAAACCAAATCACAGTGCTTAATAAAGTATGAAAATTGCTTTGTCCTTTACATACTCCACTTCCTATAATTTTGTTGTTACTTTGATTTGTCACCGATTTCCTAACAGTTCTCTTTGTTTCAATTTCCTGCTACCAAATGAGTGTTTCAAAGATCCGAACCAGTCAGTCATAATCACCTTTAGGATCTGGCACGTGTGTGCCTTGATCCAAGTTGCCACACTAAGCTAGTAAATGGAGGTGGATTTAACTAGTTGGGAACTAGTTATAATAATAGTAGCACTAATGATATTGAGGAAGACTAAGTATCAGGAATATGATTAGAAAAGAAAAAAGTGAATTACGCGGAATTGAAGTATAAAATAATATTGAAACTCAAGATCTAGGAGATAGTAAATAGATGTATATGCACCTCTGTGTCTGATTTAAATCTATATCACATGAAGTATCTAATAATCGGTTACAATTATCACTCAATGATCAACGAGGTACATAATCTCCTCCCAATAACACAGTTCAAACCGATAATCAATGAAATTATGGTGGATGGGATCATAATTAATTAATGCAGCAAACAATATTTATTTGAATGAATGTTTGTCTTCCAAAAATAATTTTATCCCTTATAATCATCATCAGTATGTTGGATAATTTGATCTAATTTTATCTAACCGGTTTCAAGTGCATATTTCATTTAATCTTTTCAAGGAGATACGCAAACTAATGTCGAATATTTTGTATATTTTATTTCACATGGATATACAAAGCTGGAGATCTTGTCTTAGTATTCAGATGTAAAGTGATATATTGTTTGCTCAAATAAGCAATACGTTTAAACCGTTGATGTGCATACTCATATTGTGCGACATACATGTTGTGCTTTTATGCATCCACCGACTGCTACAATAATAAACATTTATTATCTTTAGTTTTCAAATTAGTACGCGAATATTTATCCTCGTCCTTTTGTTATGAATTGTTCGATAAAGAGGATTGTTTTGTCATTCTTGTCTCCATGATTATTTTCCAATGGATTTCCCTATAATACCTCATTTACTATCGATTTTGTGTAAGAATCTCCCTTTACCTTCTAAATTTCTATCCCAAAATATTAGTTGAAAAAACTACTCTTTTCCCATCAATAATCGATTTTTCTTTGGAAAATTGTTTTACATAAAATTCACGCAAATTGTAACACGTGAACATCTGATTTACGTCAAAATATCTGATTTCTTCTATCCTTTGGTAATATGTCTATCCTACATTTTCCTAAAATTAATAATGACCTTAAACATTCTACTCATAATACATGTCTAAATTTGAGCAGTGTATGTGTCAGTTTACCACTAACTTGTAGTTTCATTGGTCAATTTTTTCTTTTTTTCGCCTTCTGATCCCTCATTATCAATAGCAATGTTAATTTGTTGAATGTTAAGTAAGTAAAAGATGAACAGAATTGTTAGATCATGTGAAGGAAAATAACTAAATATGGATATTCTGTTTGGTTTTGGGTGATTTTGTCTCATTTTTCCCACATTCTTACTATTACGTACTAAGTGTGTACTTTATTATTTCCTGTTCACATCAAAAAAACCGTGATATTATTGTGAATAATGAAAAAATATCTTTTGTAAATGGTTATCTTGTAAAGAGTTAGTTAAAAACGATGCTCTACAGGTTTTTTCTCAGAAATTATTTATGTTACGCTAATCATAGTCTTTTATGCATACATAGTTCTGCATACTGTTAATGTACAGATCCAAACATGAGTCCTAATAATAGATGTATGCAATTACCATAAACGAAATCACTACTTGTTCAGTTAATCTATTGTCGAATAACGTTTAATGTACTGTGTATCTCAGGTAATATATGTAAGCTGATAGAAATCCATCATTGAATTCAAGCTTAGCTGTTGAAAATTAGATAGATTCTCTTTAAAAACACTAAGGTTTCTTATTTGTCTGTGCTCAAAATGTCCATTGATATGTGTAAGTGGTGATCATGTGATTTCACTTTCATAGTTATTAAATATATTTTTGTATAAATGCTATCTTTAGTGTTTCAGGATTTGCAGTTTTTAGTCGTTTAATCGGTTATTACGGATTACGGCTTGAGGTTCACGTTTATCTCTATTAATCTTGTTAGTATGTTAATTACTAAATAAAAAAGTACTTGAATCGCATCAATGAGTGTGTAGCTTTCTTATACAACTAGTATAATGAAGAAACAAAAAGCAGTTTGATTATGGTTGTGATTACATGCTAATCAGTATTCAGTAATACATAAGATAACTAGATAATAGTTACTTAATAGTATCAAATCAGTGCTGCAGATCTCTTAAGTTAACGGAAATCACGAGGTTAAAGAAATAACAGGGTAAATGTACTTTTTCTTAATACGATAACAAAACAGTTAACATTAGAAAATAAAATTAAGTCTACTGAAAAATAACGATTTCAGTTTAAGATACTTATAGGTTATTTGGAGTTCCGTGAAATTAAAACTTGATTATTTTCATTTCCTTCTTGCCATTATCTAGTAGGCTGTGAATGAAATTCGGTTATGAAACATCTTGTACACATTTCCTTCAACATAATGTCTATATGGATGTGCATTGTATATTAGAGTTACTGATGGAGGAGCTATCATAAAAAACTACCATTCTTACAGTCAATCAGTCATAATCAATATAAGACTTGAAACACTGGTACATTGGTCCAAATTATCACGCAATATCGGTAAAATGATGTATAGTTGACAAAATGAATAACAAAAGAGTCCAAATAATCGTTCAGCTAATCATTAAACGACTAATCAACATGTCGTTGGAACTTTTATGATTAGCGATTTCAGTAGATATAACGTCCAATTTTATTCAAGGATTCATTTCTTGAAATATAGCTATTCCATTGTGTCATACAGTTTCTTTTTAACAAAAAATATAATTTGATTTTGATTTTCTTCATTTTTTTCATAGGAGTATTCACCAGACCTTGCATATATCACAAGTAAAAAACGTGCTACACTAACTGATCCTAATGCTCCTGTCACTTTGACTAATATAACAATGATAAGTCATCCATTTGATAATGAGTCTGATGAAATAACATCTAATAATTCTAAAAGTAACAATAATCATAATAAAAAATTAGATAATAGTATTGTTTCATCAGCTAATGGTCGAAATCATGAGTAAGTCTATAGTATAGTACTCGTGTTTCGTGTTTGTTACCTTTTCAATTTTTTGTCGTATTATATAGTTTTATTGTATTTGCAATCATTTTTCAAGGAGTAAACGTACGTTCTGTTGCAAATCAAATACTATCATTACTATTTTTGAACATTCTGCAAAATAATCATGTACGTTATTTATTTTTCATACATATATCAACAATTCGGCCGTGTTCCTTTGTGAAGGTAAAAATGAATGAAGTTGTGTTTGATGCATTGAGTTATAACTTATTTACTAAGTACTGGTTTATGTACTCAACTATGAGTCAAACTGTTTTTTAAGTATGATAACGAGTAATACTATGCAGATACCCAAACTGAAGTAGTTGGAGCGAGATTCTAACCTATTACCTATTGTTTGAAACCCTAGTATTTTAAAGATTAATCTGCTGCTATGGCAATCGACCCCAATGTTAGTTAGAGAGTGAATCAAAATTTTTTGTTTGTTTTATGCTATATGTTACTTGTTTAACTTTGGACAGTAGACTTTTCTCTTTGAAACTATTAGCTCTTGATCTAGATTATTTAGTTTAGCCTGACAGGATCCGTGTCATTTTTAATGCTCAACGCCAACACTGTTAGTTAAATACGTAGTGAAGTGGTGAATCTCCCACTAAGTTTTCTAGTAGTTAAATAATGAATAGAGTGGATACTTGAATTTAGAATCAGTGGAGTATATTCTGTCAAGATTACTTTCATTATTAATAGTTTTCAAATAAATAAAATTTCAAGAAAACATAAATAATTTCACAGAGAAATAAAAGTATCACATGGTCGCTAATAGTTGGACCACTTGACTATCAACTATTGAGTTGAATGTTCGAATTTTACACTATCGAATTCGTTTCTAGCAGTGTGGTACTATTTTCGGCTTTCACATTAAAAGTATAACTTGAAGACTTATTGTTGTTGTTGTTACGTGAAAGAAAGAATATTTTCATCGCCTAACTAAATCGAACGAATTTTTTCTTATCGACACTTTTTACTCGATAGATTATGTTTTGTGTATGTATCTCAGTAATATTAATCACTATTTTAATCGTTATTAACTGTAAATCACACTTACATTTTATTTGTGTTGGCTAAATATATTTTCTCATCGGAATTAAGTTTTCTAAAGTAGTAGTCTTGTGTTTATGCTTTATCTAATTTTCTTATTTGGGATAATTAAGAATGTACCTTAAGGTAATAGGATTCATAATTAAATTACCTTCTGCCTATATTCACTTTCATAATTACGTTATTAAATGCCGTCAGAAAATAAAGAAACCAATCAAATAATGTGTATATAGGATAATACAATTGTAGTAACTCAACAAATAACTAATTAGTTACTTTGTTGTTAACAATCTCAAGAGGTATGTACACTTCTCGCAATTCATCGCTTTCAGTTTAAGTATATCGCATACAAATTTTTTCTAGTATTCTTTCATAACTGAGTTTTTTTAAACTTTTTCCGACGTTACCTTTAAAAGATATTTTCCCCACCTTGAAAAATTATCCAGAGCGAATTCCATGGTCTTCGTATATATATTATCAGGCTTTACTCTAATATACATCAATATTTATAATAAGAATATGAAACTATTCAAGGTAATTTATTATGAGTTAGTGATCACTATGGAATAGACAGCATAACTATGCATAGTAGGTAAACAGTGCACATTGGTAGTAAGAAGACAAGTGTATTAGTAGTGATAAGAATAATAAAATAATAGAATTTCTAGTCAATAGTTCAACATGGGAAGTAGGTCAAACGTGAAAAAAACATCAAACTAATCACAAAACACTATCAAAGTTACGCAATAAGAAGTATGTAAATAATTAAATAGTGAAGAATATAAACGGAAGGAGATAAAAGACAACAAATAAATACGGTATGTCGGAAAATTACCAAAATCTTTTATTAGGTCATGTGCAACCAAGGAAGATAAGAGTGTCACGACTTTATTCTGAATACATCAACGTCGGTTATAGGTTCTGTTTCTTGTAGCTTTTTGCATATGTGGGTGACAAGTCCCATTGAGAAATAACGAGAGTATACTACGAGCCACTCAAAAAAGACTTTTTTTCTACCATATGACTTCTAATATTGCGTAACAAAATATAACTGAGGATTATCTTTATCTGTCCCTTTCCAAACCAAAGTAAGAGATTTTCGCTCATTTATTGGTTAAGTTGCCTGGTAGTAGACCCAGTATAGCTATTTCCACAGGAGCAGGTAAATTTTTACATGCACGTTGAAGAGGCAAACCCAGGTAATTTATTGTTTGTTCAAGTAAATATCATTGGTGTACTAGAAAAAATGTCAGCGCAAGACTATCTGCGTAGATTGTTCTATTAACTTCCCTCGCTAATCTATCATCCAGGACATCTCTGCTGAACTGTAGATTTAGGAATGGGGATTTCTTACAAATGATCATCTCTAACTTACATTTCCCCGCGTTCATGTACTCCTAAAAAAACCCTCGGTCAGTCGATATCCGTCAGTATGCTGTCAATATACTCCAGTTCCTTCTTTATAGTATTATCTCAGTGGGTCCTTTTCGCTCTGTTTGTGAGACACCAAATAAGTTCTTTTGTAGCAGATGGGTTTAAAACTATAGTAGTGTGTGTAGTGGGATGGAAAATAGCTCTTTCTATACATAATTCTGCTTAATTAGCCATCTCCTCGTCTTAATGAGATATCAGCGAAATTTAGTGTATTATCACATTCGTCCTCAGCAATGACAGTGATTGCCGGGTGTACACTGATTTAAGAGTTCGTTACTAGTACTTTAGTCTATGGTGATGAATATGTTGTCGATATAGCGGTAGTGTAGATCTAGTTTATCGATATCTTTTCATTGGTGGGTTTATTATCAATAAATTTCGGACTTTGGTGAGATCTTAAAGCTTTTCATCGACTTATTCTGTCTTGCTTATTAAAGCTACATCTCCCTTAACTGGCTTGCTTATAGTCAGCGTGTCATCTTTTCTTATCTTTGTTAAACCGTCCCCGGACTGCTTGGTTAGTAGGCGCTTAGTGGTACGTTTACTATTCATGTACTGTTGATAGCCATCGATTCGGTTGAGACCAAGTCATTTGTTTGTGGAAGCAAATTCTCAACCTGTACGTCAGTATCTAGTTGGTTGGTTCTGTGCCCATAATTTCGGAATTCAGGTGCCAAAGATGAAGCTTCTAATTGTACTACATCTAATTCAGTACTGGAAAAACTATGGGCTTACCGCTACGGATTAAAAGGAAATCCACTTTCTGGTCTTTACTTTTCCAGTATTTTCACTAATTTTTTTCTTGTCTTCTCAGACCTGCTTTTGGATACGGTATCCCATAACCCATGAAAATTCATCTTATTTCCAATAGTAGATTTTTTTTAAAACATTCCCTCTCTAAAAGATTCTTTTCCAAGTCACTTATATTATTTTAAATTAAAGTTTTTATTTAAAATGTTATATGTAGCACAACTTTTCAAAATATAGACTATTTTCATAACGTTTATAAACTGTTCTATGTACGTAATAAACATTGAAAAGACAAGACTTCTTATTGAACTATTCTATATAATGTATTATTATTTTCATGATTGCCGTTGCTAACAACATATCAAGTAACATGGTCGTATTCTTTGATATTAAATAATACAATTCATTACGTCTTCATATAGTTTACTCATTTTCTTTTGTAGAAATAGGATTAAGTAACCCTAAAGTGGATTAACTACATATTATGTAGTTCTTTTTACTTGGGGACAGGGGTGAAAGAGATAGTTAGCTAATAAGTTCCGTTGTTTAGATCAATCAGTCAATCATGAAAACTACATAAGCGACAAGACCATCTTGATATATACTAATTTTATAATAATTAATTTTCTTTTTTTCATGATTAAATTTCAGTACAAATAATCCTTTTGATGATAAAGCTTCTGCAAATACAAAACCAACTAATGGAGTTGAAGCTGGTGAATATGCTATGAGTTCAAGTTCTGCTGCTGCTTTTGCCGGTGGTAGTGACGGCAGCGTCGATCCTATGTACTTTGAAGAAATCAACGATGCGACTTATGATGATGGTCGGGAAGGTGTAAAAGTACGTGCACTATATGATTATGTTGGACAAGATGGCGATGAAATCAGCTTCGTTGCTGGTAGGTATTTACTTTGTACGCTTTTGTTTACAATCTTTTTCGTTTTTTTTCTCTACATCTCAATGACCACTAAACAATAAATCAATGTATTGACTAACGTATTCTAATGTGTTTTTTTAATATTCCAAAGTTGAATAATACTTTTATCTGGTTCACTTTGGATTTTTTTCTAATAAACTGATAGCAGTAAATCACCAAAACATTTCGAAAAACCAAGTAAATTGGCAAAATGATCTATTCGATAGAGAAATGTTGGTGAAAAAATAAGAACACGAAAATTACCATCTTTTTCGTATGTAATCTTAATTATGACAATGATAATAATAATAGTTTCATATTTCATGTTTATCAACTTGTTTTTATTTTCTTTCATAATCCATTGCTCATGGTCGTATTGTTTTTTTTAGCGGTTGATCCTGATTAATTTGATATAATTTAACTATCAGAGAACATATTCTTGTATTTAGATTTGATGTACACTGTACGCTATTTATGCTGTCCAAGCGCATAAACACATTATTTGAATATGTGATTCGCTGATTAAAAACCAAGTATTTTAACGACTACGATTGTACGGATATTTACTCAGTTGGTCCTCATACTTTCTGTTCAAATATTTTCTCCGAGGTTGTTTTTTTTATTCTATCATAAGACATGTAAGCAGTGTTGTTTCCTCCCAGTTCTCCTTTCAGTGACTTGTGTGTTGATTAGGTTGTCACTTATTTTCTTTTTCCACTGGATGCCCTTTTCCCAGGTTTTATGATAGCGAACTATTGTCGAGAATCTCCAGGAAAAAATTAGTCATCTGGAGATTCTAGGTATTCCTTGATGGCGCGAGTGTCATGTATCAGGGGTTGTTGTAAGATGCATTTCACCATCTATTATCAAACCTAGTCCATTTCAATATAGAGTTACTTAACTCAACGACCATATTGTATAGTAATCGATTAAAGTTGATCCACCGTAAGAACTAGATAAAACGACGCTGGTCATTATCCAGTAAACAATTCGTGTCTGTCTTCACTGATTTATACGGATACCTTTTATAAGAAATCTTCATAGTGTTTGACCGTTGTTTAAAAAGTTTATTACAATCCATTAATCGATTATGTGTTCGTGTTTCATTTGTGTTTAGTTGATTTTATATTTATATTTTTGTATTTCCGTTGTGTCGTCATCTCATTATGTGAGTTGGTTATTTCACAGAGATTTTTAAAAATTTGGTTTTGTAATGATTATTATCATAAGTAAATGATTTGTAACATTATAGAGAATATTTGTAGCTCAGGATGAGGATTTTTAATGTGTCACCTTCTTTGAGATAAATAGTTTAAACTGGAAACATCCAGATAGCACTTAATAGCAATGTATCAGTTTAGCTCTAGTATGCCCTGGTACGGCCGAGGGTGTGGAGAGTCCGATCTCCCTCTTGAAATGCTCTCACATGGCCACACATATACAGGTAGAGAGAGAAGTCCTACTCAATGCCTTTTCGCGACGGAGGTGTTGTTTACGAAATTAAGAGGACAAAAAGCGAATGTCTGATGCATCAACCGGGTTAGTGGATATGGAGGATCCATTTAGGATAGTTGGAAAACCCTGATTCCAAACCAATGGTGCACATAGACTCCAGAATCAGGATCCAGAGGGAACAAAAGGCATATAAATCCATTTTCTGTCACTGGTTACTATGAGAGTGCATCTCGTTACGTTGCTCCACTGCTTTGTGGATTAGACCTCTAGGTTGAAGGCTCGAGAAGTGGCCTCCTAAGAAAAATACACCTGCTTCGGTTCGGCTCCCGGGTGGTATTTCAGCCCTCAAACAAATCGAACAACTTAATGTGGCACAGATATATTTGATGCGTTCTTGTACCAATGTTTATGTGTTTAAATAAATAAATCAGAAATAATACTAGACTGGGTTGGAGTAATAGGAAGAACAACTTGGCAGGGATAATCATAATTTTTATAGTATTTTTAGTGCGGTATAGCTAAATTTTCTAAGAAAGTTTATTAAGATAGTGAATATATATAGGTGTTTAATGGTGGTGTCCGTTGTTTTTATGAGTGAATAAAAACTGGATATATATGTAATATTAATACCATATTGAATAGTCTCCTTTCTACATTATTTTAAGTCAAAATCTTCATTAACCTATCACGCTAAAGTTTGTTTGCCTTCAGTACTGATTCCAGCCAGCTCAGTTTGTTCAAGTTTCCTGCTCTGGATTTTTCATTTCGTTTAATTTATCTAATACTGTCCTTAATCTTCATAACATTTGTTCAGTGTTTCCATCAACTATAAGTCATTCTATCAAATGTGCATTTTGATGAAGAAATGGTTGTATCATGTCTTTTATCTTTATTTATCCTAACTTCAACCTTAAAGTGTGATAAAACAAATTGTTGATGAGTCCAGTCATTTCGCTAATCAGCATAACCTTGATAAACAAGTAGACAATTCTTTTCAATTTAGTTATAAGTTACATCCACGTCTAGGCTGTATTAAATATTTTGTACATATATGCTTGGGGAAATACGGAATGGTTGTTTTCTGTCTCTTGAGTTTGAATGTGTTTTTGAATAAAGTGAATTTAAGCTTATATCAGTCTTACGTCTTTAAAAGTTACCACCATATACAGCAGTCTAAATTTTTATAACTCATTTATAGAGGTTGTTTTGCTTCTAATTGTTAACAGATTTCATGTTTTCAATGTTTGTATTGTTGTGTAAATATTACCCATTGCCAATGACTTTTCATGTCTTATTATTCTATTCATTGTGAATTGCATCTCTCTTTTTAATAAACATTCTTTACAATCCATACGTGTTCGTGTAGGAAAATTGTGTTTTTCATGAGGTGAAACAGTCAAATTTGCTTCTCCATACACCACATATTTGGGATCAGCTTTTTTATTTCGTTTAATAAGTCGCCTATAGTCATAACAGTTCTAATATTTCTTTATGAATTTTAAACGATCTACTCACAACTAATTATTAGAAATCCCGAAAAAATTATTTTTTCATATCCTAATGACAACAGTTATATAAGAAGCTAGATACTAGTAAAATGTTTGTTTCGTCTTAGCTTGTGACTCCTAATAGTGCGTGTTAGAAACCCCACATGAAATAAAACCCAAGGATTGGCAAGCTTCTCAATGACCCGATGTGGGTTAGTGAGTAAATATTTCTGTAGAAATGTAGAATGAAAATGAAATAGCTGTTCTTTGATCTCTTGGTTTCTAATAATTTCCCAGTAAGTGTTATGATGTAAGTTGTCTCTTCGAATCATGGATTTTATTAATTAAGATAATAATATTAGCAATAATAATAAATATAGGTAACTATATTACATTTGCATAGTCGATAATTTCTTAAGTTTTTTCTTTGCTTATTTTTTGTAGGTGACACGTTTGAAAAACTTGAAGAACCTGATGATCAAGGTTGGTGTAAAGGCCGAAAAGATGGTCGTGTTGGTCTATATCCTGCAAACTACGTAGAACCGTGTTTAAAATAATGCCACACATAAAATATTTGATCCATCCTCTCTTTTCATCACATTTTGTGTGCGGCTTGTCGTTTTTTGCAACACAGTTTTACAATTGCTTGTATTCGTATCGTAGAATATTGAACGGATGTACGAATGGTTAAAACACCGAATATATATCTTTTTTATATCTTCATTGATCATATATATATATATATATATATATATATATATATATAGCCAATGTTTTAAACTACCTTTTCCATTCAAAGGATCGGTTTTTCCCACATGTCCTACATACTTTTTGTAGATGAGAAAACGTGACCCTATCATATTTTGAAAACCATTTATTTGAGTTATAGCGAACCACGAAAAGAGGACCTAACAAATTTCATTTATTGGTGATTATTTTCGGTCTATTTTCTGTACTGCATGGTTTTTTCCCAAAATGAAAATTGCTATTTAAGGTTATATTTTATCTTTTAGAAAACAATGATTATCGTTTTCAGAGTCATCACCACTGTGTAATATTTGTCACTTACAATTATTGCTCTGTCGCTGTTGAATAAGGGATTTTCAGGTGTATTCACCATATAAATCCACTCTTACTACTTTCCTTGTCTTATTTTTGTGAGTTGAAACATCATATAAACTTTGGTGAACAATATACATATGTAATAGGAGTAAATTCGAAATATTTATCCATTAATTTATGCTTATGTTTATTAATTTCGCTTTGACAATGGGCGCTGTCTATTCTACTCATTTCTCTTCTTTTTAAAATCTTTTTTTTCCAATTTAGTATACATACATAATATATTCATATTTATGTATATATATGTCTTAAAGTGGTTATATTGAGGTAGAGACAAAATTATAGAGTTTCGCATTGTTGCTATATATGAATTATATATTTTCGTTTGTACTATCATCATTAGTTTTTTCTATTTATAAGCATTACATTATACCCCTTTTTTCCTATTCTTTCATAAGTTTTCCATCATATTATTTTTTCTTGTATTCTTTCATCGTTTCTCCATTGTATTTTGTTATCTGACAACTGAGTTTTCTGTTCTTCTGCATCTGTGCATGAATCATAACAGATTTCCATCGAGTTACGTTACTTGTTTCAATTCAGTTGAAATTTTGTCCCATCTCGTATATATATATATATATATATATATATATATATATATATATATATATAGATAGATAGATAGATAGATAGATATAGATATAGATATAGACATATAGATAGATAGATAGATAAAAAAAACGTATTCGCTAAATAATTTCTTAAATTATACTGAACAGATATATCAAAGTGATCGGAAAATTTCTTACTTATCATCAATTTTTTAAATTATTGTTCTAACAGGTCAATGGATCTTTTAGTATGACTGAAGGGGTTAAAGTAATAGTTTGATTGTGTGAATTAAGACTAGATGTCTACTAAGCAGATTTCAAACGACGGACGTCTTTATTCAGTTGATTATGTGTATTCAATTTAAAGCATTACAATTGTTTATTTGCACACAAATTTGTCTGACTTGCGTTGTCTGTCATTTAGTAAACAAATAGTTGGTAATATGTTGGTCGTAGGCAATAATCAATGTTCATTCGTTTTGGCAGTTGTAACGAATAAAAGAACACTAAATAACTTCTAACTTGTCTAAACGTCTTAGTGATCTCATATTGAAATTATGGCATTTTCATTAACGGTATCAGCAAATGTTAACCTAATTATTAGATCAATATTGGTTGGTTTTGGTCAAAATAATACGAAAAATAAAGGTAAAGTGATAATGATGCATTTTGTTTTATTTATCAGACTTTTTTACAAGCAGAAATACTATTGCTTTGCCAAATGATCAGAATGTAGTGCCGCGATTCGTTAATCGTTCGTTTCGATAATCGATATAATTCTAATCTTAACGGCGCGTAAAATCAGAAGACAAAGGATAGCAGCATCTACAGTTTATTGTCGAATAACTCAGGTCAGAAAGTTAACAACACCTGAGCGAATAATAACGAGCAAGTGAATAGGCGAATAAGCGAAGGAAGCGAACGAGGCGGAAATGACATGCAGTGGAGATGGCTGGGAAGCCAACTCGAGAGCGAAGCGAAAGGTAATGCGTATTGGAGATTGGCGGGGAAGCCAACTCAATTTAAGCAAGCGTTAATCAACATTTATAGTCGGACAAAAATGAGTGACAGACATATGATGAATAAGATACGAGGTGTACACATATATGCTCATATAAAAGTATAGTCAAGGTCAATAAGCGAATAATGAACAAGATCAAAATATGACTCATGACAGGCGAATTGGCTTGGCTAGTAGCTGGAATAAAGTATATGGGCTTAACAAATAAACTGATACTACAAGAACAAAAATTTGGAGATATTGCAATACGTGAATTGACGTAACATAGTGCTTGTTTCTCATGTTAATAAGTTAATAAACATATGTTGCCACGTTGATTTGTATTAGTTGTTTGAATTATCCCATTAATGTTTAGGACGAATTGATCAATGTCTTTTGGCATATGTGCACCCTGTGCGGATCGCCTGGATATTGCTATGAGTCAAAAGTATTATAAGAAGAGATTTATAGTGGCTAGCAGTGCAATCCGTCACCTACGTTTCCTTCCATTTAGCTGGATGTACATGAATTCCAGAGCTGATGTTCACTGTAGGACTATCCGCCATCAATCTCTGTTTATCACGCTAGTGATTTAAGACAATATCGAAGCAATCCGCTCAGGATGCACATCTGCCAAAAGAGGCTGGTGAATTACAGTCCCAAACATCTTTTGGAAAATTCAAAGAACCAGTATATATAAAATACAATTTACCCTGTTGAACATGTCATTATCTATCTGAACTGAGTAGCTAGGTGGTTAACGTGATGGCGTTTGAAACGAACGGCACTGGGTTTGAGTCTCATTGAATATGAACTGTGAGATCCAACTGATAAGTCCCAAACAGGACGAAACACTCGTACTGGAGTTTTATATTGTGTATAGTATTTGTATTTGCGATTAATGAAATCCAGAAACCGAGATATATCATCAAGTATTCATTCTTTTGCTTTTGGTGGTCATTCATGAGCTTGAGAGTTTATTCAACGTTAACAGCTGTTGTTAAGTAAACTGTACTTCAATGATAGGAAGTTATTGAGAACGGATAGGCTTTTATTTGATTAGTATATTTTCTGAAACGAGTACTAGTTAAAAAAATAGGTGTTTATCAAATTGTTTGTTATGTAACCTTATGTGTATTTTGAGAAGTATTGCTGGTCAGTATCTGGAGACAGTATTAAATATAACTATTACTTGTTGATATACTTATCTGCCGATCATGTATTTGTGTGTTTGCTAATAATACTGTTGACTGCTTAAGTCAGAAGTGAAGCAGTATTTGAACTTACAATTTACTGACTAGAAATTACTGTTCTGTTAAAATAATTGTCATCCAATGATTGGAATCACACATCGTTATATTTTACTTCACTGAATTAGTAATCTCATTTGAATTTATGTAGTAACTGTTATTACAAAGTTTTATGTAGTGTATATATTATAGCTAAGAATTGGTCTCCATTAGTTTTTTCAAAAAATAATATCTTTCATTAAATTTTTATATTCTTTCTGGATGTATTACTGTATTTTTAAGAAACAAGATAAATCTTAGGAAACTAATGATTTATATATCCACTTCTCATTTACTTCATAAAAATCAACTCAGTTACTTCATGCTTTTACACGATAAATAAGTTATGGGAGTTCTCACACTTCAATCAAAACATTGAAAAACAAGGTGAATATTGTTTTTCATTCTGATTCCTAACTTAAGTGATTATATAAGTAAAATGCTTGATCATTATGTAACACAATTTCTAGGTTTACTTTGAAATATATCGAAGATATTTAGGCATTCGTATGTTCAGTAATTTCAAGATTTAACAATAATCAGTGGTCATTATTGACCAGTGGAGCTAATCGGTGTTGGTTGTGAGGCATTTACCCACCGAAGGCAATTAAAAGTTGTAGCGCAAGGTTGTGGATTGACTGAGGTTAGACATTAAGACCGTTGGATGGCTACTCAGAGTTCGAACGCTAGAACGAAGATCATGGGTTCTCGCGTTCAGTATATGGATGCGCACTGCTGTGAAGTTCTATACTAGGATATAAATGACTGTCCAGGCTTCCATTCGTGATCTAACTAACATTGGCTCATAATTTCAATAAAATAATTGGTATCATAAAGAGTTTAACGTTACAGATAATTAAAATAACCCATAGTGTCATTGAATAAGAAAAAGAGAGTTCAAAGAAGAAAATTTTCTTTTCGACGAAATCATTTTCTTAAGCTGTACATTTGTATAAAGTTATATGGAAAATATATGTCTATAGGAGGCTAGGAAAGATTGCATTATAAATTGATTCGACAATAAATAACAAATGAGGTTAAGTACTAATCAAGGGGTAAGGAAGAAAATAATTAATGGGTCAGATAATAGTCCAATTGACAGATTGAAGAAAAGCGACCAACACAAAGGTCATAATAATAGACAATACTAATCAAGAAAATCTGTGTAAGGTAAGAATGTTAAGTGGTTAGAGTTAAAAATGCAAAACTAATTTAAACAATATTCGATAATAACCAAATAAAAGTGCAGAAATTAGGACCAAGGAAGGGTGAGTGGTTGGACAAATCGTTTCTGCACGCAAGGCTTGGTTTCGCGGATTGCTAATGCCTCAGCAGTGCATAAAATATTGATTCGATATGGTTCCTTTGACTCTGTAGATTATTTTAAAAGAAGAGTCCTGTTCACAGTTAATTAAATGCTCCTGTATCGAACTAGTAATTTTTTTACATTCTCCTTTTAAGAACTAAGTCGGATAGTGTTCCGTGATGCGTTTGGAAAGTGATCGCTTTTTGCGGCCTATGTAACGTGCCACACATGAGCAAGTAAATTTATAGATACACATTGATGTGGCCCAAAGTGGAAGCTTATCTTTAACGCATCCCTGAATGATAGTCTGTTATTATGATATTTGTGTTGGTCGCTTTTCTTCAATCTGTCAATTGGACTATTATCTGACCCATTAATTATTTTCTTCCTTACCCCTTGATTAGTACTTAACCTCATTTGTTATTTATTGTCGAATCAATTTATAATGCAATCTTTCCTAGCCTCCTATAGACATATATTTT